CACAACTTGGTACAGTTACAGTCTACCCCAACACCGTTTGTGTCGATGTATTGCAAGCAGACAGAACACCCAATCCCCTCTTATCGGCCAGAGTATAGATCTCATTGTGCATTTTGCTGCTCTTCTCTGACATAAAAAACATGAATCCTCTGTACTCAAAGGGTCAAAACACTCTCCTTGCCTGCTGAGCTGAAATTACCTGCTTTGCAATGGCTGAATGGCAGGAATTCCCTGATTCAGAGGGCAACACCAGTGAACATTAGGAAACACACAGTGGCTGTATTGACTGACATAGTGTCAAAAAAGAGAAGTGCTCCCAGAGCCCACAGATGTCAGACAGAGACATCCGGAACTCAGGAAAGAAAGAGCTTGGTGCTGACACGCAATTGTAACATTTCCTTACTTTTCTGAGCTGGGAAAAGGCCTTTGTGCATTTCAACAAGGATGAGGTTTGTCTGTCCCATTTTTTGTGCCATACTGTTACAGAACAGAATTAAAGGTCCACTACCTTGTCTGACAACAAGAGAGACAAGAGCTTAGCTGGGAGAGCCAACCACATTCTTCAAGCCTCTCAGGAATGGCCTTAACAGACCTGAAACATATGAATAAACGAGTGAAAGAGTTTCCCTTCCCTTTATTCTGTTTGCTTGTTGGTTTTCAGGGGAATGCAATCATATTCTGACTTAAAATTTCCAGAATGTGGTTATGCCAATCGAAAATACAGATGTCCTCTAAAGGACCCATTCCCACAGGCTGCAGCCTGCATCTCTGCCTTCCAGGAGGCATGAAGCCTCTGCCTGTGTTGACCCCATGCTAGTTAAAGGAAAGACGGTTGAACTGTTCTGCAGAGACAGTCCCAGCATCGTCCGGTGTCACGTCCTCTGTGGGGACAGGGACACAAGGGAAAACCTGTTCCTCACTGGGACCCCCGGCCATGGCCCAGGGCTGTGGTGGCAGGGCATGGGCACGGCACTGAATGCTCTATTGCCTGTACCTCCAAACTCAACACATGTACCCACCAAACATTTAGTCACTGAAAGGACACACTGGGAAAAAAGCTCCCAGACTTTTGCAAAAACTTGGCAGAGCTTTCCTTGAAAGAACTTCTCTACAAAGACTTTTCTCTCTCCATGCCAGAAATTCAGGTACTCTCTTTATTTCATGCTTACACATTATTTCAGTTTCTATGCTCAGGGGTATCCCAGTTTACAGTGTTACAGTTTATAACTTCAGCACAACACAGCGGGAGGCTTTCTGAATATTCCATTCCTCACAGACATCATTCAGAAAATGAGTTATTAGAGATGGTGTGACAGTCCTTCTTAAAAGGAATAGCTGAGTAAATGCTCAAATACAGTTCAGGGACTAGAAGGGAAAAGGTCAAGAGAGAATGCAAATGTGCTCATATAAAACTGGAAAGTCATGAGGGAATAGTTTTCTACTTCATTAAGAAGCCTCTGGATTCAGGAAAAACAATGAGGAGACCAAATTCAATGTCTTTTCCACCACTTCATTTTGATTCTGTCTTCAGAAAATGTTCTTTGAAGGACACGTGGAGTTTTCATGCAATGCACCTCAAACACAACCAATATGTTTTCACACCTCTGT